GTGATAACGGTGATGACATTTTTGATAAAATATTAGTAAATAAAATTCATATTAATGATTTTTACCAATTAGACTGTATGATATATGTTCTCGTAATTAATTAGTGTAAAAACTAAAACTTAATTAATTGTTTATTCCTATCTTTCAATCTATTGAAAACGATTTTGTTGTATTATATTCCTCTTTTACATTTATCAATTCGTTCAAAAAAGAAATCAAGTGTATAGAATATTCAAAATACAACATAAATATAAAAGTTAAGAATTTTCTTGGTTTTTTTTTGTCTTGATTCTTTTTTTATGATTAACTTTTTTCTATCTTAATTCTTTTTAAAGATCACCATACCATCATAAGTATAATTTTAAAGAGAAAAAAATCAGAAAAAGTTTTTTTAGAAAAATAAGACTTAAATAATTCGTTTTTGACTTTAAATAGAAATAAAACTGTCGGAATGTGGCTGTTTCTTTTTGAATGTTATGGATACTATTAATAACTAAGTTTATATTTCATAACTGAAATTACAATGAGGCTATAGAAAATTTAAAATACTTTTTCCCTAAAACATAAAATTGCATTATTATAGGACTTGTAAAAGATTTCAATAATGAATAGAAACTTGAAAGTTTACATTTGAACCCTTTAAAACTCTTTGCAAAGATATGTATATCTGTAGAGCAAGGAAGTCTGACATGCCATATTATTATTATTACTCATAGTGCCATTAACTACATAGGTTTTCATTTAAGGTGGACCAAATAAGCTCCTTGTTAAATATATACTACCTAGTAGAATCTCAACCATGTTTTACAGAATACACAAAACTAATAAGACGTAACACAAGGGATAGAAATTATACTACGACTTTACCTCAATAATGAAAGTATAAATAATTAGATAAAAAAAAAGTAAAATAAACTGAGATTTAGTTAATACTTGTCTGTCTTTATTTTATTTAAGTTTTAGTTTTGGAATTATAAATATAACAGTGGATCTAACTGAGTACCTTTGTAAGATTATTTCCTAAGGTGATAAAATTTTCTACAATAATTAAAAACAGACCCAGAAGGTATTCTAGATCTGTTTTTAATTATAACAGTTATTTAGTTTTTTATTTAGACGAAAAATAAACTCACAAAAAATTTCTTATTTAGATGAAAAATAAACTTAATAAAAATAAACTCAACAATAATCGCATTTCTTTGTAATGTGATAAATATGTATGTTCAAGCATACTTCATTTTCCCTGTTCCTAATTTATGATAACAAATGAAATTATAAAATATCATCAGCATAACAATGAAGTAATTAATGGTACCTATGAAAATTTAAGAAATCATCATTAATTAATCGAATTCCAAGTCCCGATCAATTTTTTACCTTAAAATAGTCCAAGTTTTTTTGGCACATGTCTTTGCAGTGGTATTCACGTAATTATGGTCGCTAGGCAATATTTCATGGAAAGCTATTTCTTATTTAGATTGGTTTTAATGGAACTGATTATGTAATTCTAGGGAAATTGAGACATTAAAAAGTATTGTTCTCTTTTGATCACCCGTCGCTTTTACATTCATCAAATATTTAGAACCCTCTATATCAGTTATTTATTGCAGACCACTTTTAAAAGAAAATGTATGATAGCCGAGCAAAATATTAAAATAAAATATGAGAATAAATTAAAATAGACAATTATCACCAGTTTTGTATCCAACTACTATATTTATCTTTAACGATTTTTTTAATAAAATATGCGAAAATAACGTTTCTAGGGGGAAAAAATGTATGAAACTTTTACAAAGAAATTAAAACGTATTTTAAAGTGTCATCATAAAAAATTACATTTAAGAGGATAAAAAATAAATATTTAAGTAGGTACCACATTTCACTGATGAAAAATAAATTGAGAAAAAATTTTATATATTACATACATATATATTTACATATTTTTCATATATTTTCAATATATTTTTCAATGGAAACCAGACGATAATAAAGCTGGCATTTTGGAAAATTAAAATAGTATATAGTTACATTCTATTAACATATTCAAAGATTTTTTGGTCAAGTTTAAATACTATTGTGACTACTTTTATTTGTGTACTTAAAAATAATAAAGTCATTAAGTAATGTATATATATTTATGTATGTACAGATTTCTTTATCGACTTGTCCTTAATTAAGTAAAAATTTGTATGCTTATATTACATATAGATACTACTTTTAAAGTCCTTCATTCAAACTTATAATAAGAGTTCAAATTTTTACATTCATGTTTTGTTTTATTATACCGACATTCTGAATAGCCATTTGGTCTAAAATACTCTTGATAGAATGGATTTTACAATATTCATACCTCACTTTTTGCTTAAATATCTACAGTTTTATTACTTTTTAGTATATAATTTCAAACGACTAGCTTATCCCGTACCATAGGTAAAGCTGCGGTATATTTGCACTATGTTAGATTTTGTAATGAAATATGCATATCTCTGTAGATAAAAAAATAAATTGTTATACATTTTAAATTGCGCCTAGCTGTTATTATAATAATGGCTTTGCCTCGTTCACTATTATTAGAGTAAGACCTGGAAAAATTATAATTTTAATTATCATGGTCGTGTTACGTAACCTTCGTACCTTTAGTGGTTTATGAAAATAAAAAAATAATATATTTATATTTTTTCTCTATTATCGACATATGTCCTTAGGAACAAATTAATATTTTCCTACATATTATGCTTATATAATATTTTCGTATCAGACGTAAATAGTTTGAACTTTAAAAGACAAACATAAATTAATTTTTCCGACTCCTATTAAAAAATAAATTTTACGTTTTCTTCTCTAATGGGAACATCAATATTAGAAACAGTGTCCAATCTTTAATCAAATATATGTATAGCTAACCGGGCGAACTCTATTTTGTCTTAGTGGCCATACATAACCAGGAAATAGTATTTATTACATTTTTCCTGTTTCAATCGAATACAATAAAATATCCTATGTCCATCTCCTTGTTCTAATCTATCTCTCCATGTCCTGGAGTGCGACAGAATGATTGACATTGAAATGTTCGTAGAGGTTCAGAAAAGTTTTAAAAGGTGAAAAAAATTATTCATTTCCTGGAAAACCTTAAACTAACAACTAACTAATATGTCAATCATTCTGTCGCTCTTCAAAATACGGAGATATATGGCTTTAATAGGTAAACTATAAAAATATAAATAAAAAAAGTAACAGATATTTCTTGATTATAGGGCAATACGAAGTTCGCCGGGTCTTCCAGTAGATATACATATATGTCTCTGAATATTTACAGTGTAAGATTTATAAAACAGAATGTTCATTTACTATAACACCAATACTTATAATAAATATAAATGACTTTGCATAATAATATATAAAGTACACCAATTTAAACCGAAGTAAATAGTTGTAGCAAAATTATTTTAAATATAAATCATTGTATAATAAGGTTATACAAGAATTCCATAAGTCGAGTTTGTTTTAAGTTTAATTAAGAAATTAACGTGTGTTTTAAAAGTTCGTGAAGTACCTAGTTTTTTTTATTATGGTTATATTATTTGTCTGAATAAAAGTAAATGCCTTATCAACGGTTTCTTACATTTTTTATTAAAGATAAATGTAATATTAAAACAAAATATATAAATTCTAGGTATTAAGTACATTACAAAGTGGCAGATATTTTTAATACAGATTAAAGATAAAATTATATTATCTTTGAAATGATATGAAATTATTTAATTTTATTTTGCTTTTATACACTAATATAGTAAATTTATAATGAAAATTAATTTTAAATATTATCAAAAAAAATCCATAGTTTTTTATTCATTTTATAATATCAACAAGGACTGCCGTTAAATACGTTTCGCAACCTGTAATCTCTCTCAACATGTTATCATTAATCAAAACAATGTCTGTAACCATCTTTGATATCAACATTCACCGGAAATGCTACTGGTATCAAGCGATCTACTAATTAGATATATCGATACAATGCCGGCTATGTCCTGTCATATTCGGCCAATCATGTCAGCTGCTACGATGAGAATCATCAGATCATATTTATCATTTTTAAGAAAACATACATATGTCATCAAGCTCAGAAAGAGTTTTTGATTTATTTATGATATGAAACTTAAGTCATTCAACTTTTAAAATTAGATGTAATATTTTTTTAAGTTATATGTAATGATAACGTCAATACATAATATATTTCAAATAATTTAATAAGAAAATATAAGGCCATTACGTCCATATTTGCCGACGGTGAAATATTACACGTTTGTAGGGTAATTGTAATTTATATTTAATATAAATCTTAATTTTTTATATAAGATTGACAGGCTAAATAGGGGAAAAAACAAACTGCAAAATAGAAATAGTACCTAGGAAGATAACTTTAGAGCACTCAATTTTATAAGAAAAAAATATGTAGGTGCAAGAATACATTTCGGTCATTATATTTGTAAATATTTGTATCTCTAAAATAGGTCTAATATTTGTAAAATAGGTCTTCGTTGGAATAATTATGAATTAATATTTATAAATATAAATATATATATAGGTCATATGCCTGAAATCTTATTTAAATTATAATGAAAGAATATTATCTTTCCAAAATATTATATTTTATATCAATAAAAAAAATCATTTTTGTTTTATTTTATTTCAAAGTTCTATATCTCTAGAAAAAACACCCGTTATATAAAATTTGATACTATATATGTAAATATAAAAATTATCACAAGAAAAAATGTGAATGGTTTTTATACATGGTTTGTAAGATAATCGTTCCTCAGTTAGAGAAATATGATACTTTATAAGATTACGCTATTTTACTTTATTGACAACAAGAAAACACTATACCTAATGAAATTAGTCTTATAATAAAATTAGGTTTATCCACAACCAAACATATCAAATATTGCCGGAGTCAAATATCAGTTTAAATAATAAATAATAGTGATGTGACTTACCGTTTGGCGATATATTCAATGGCTGTGTTATGGAGGCAGCTGGCGCTGGCTCCATCTTCCAGGACGCGCAGCACGAGGAAGGAGAAAATTCGGGTATGGGGCCGTTGCCCGCAGATATCAACATGGTAGAGCTACCGCGGTAAGCATATGCACAACGACACTAGATACGTCCAACCTAGCACAGACACTCGCCAGCACACGCTCGCTTGAAGCTCAGCCAGAACACTGAAGCGCGCTTACCGCTTACCGCTCGGCGCGCCCACTCGCGCTTACTCCCATTAGCACGCCTCAGAAAAAATCACCGTCAAACAATAACAAAAAACTACCTCCGTTCTATACAACCTCCATACAACCTCCATACACCTCTCACTCTAACGCTCTTAATTCGATTTCCGAACGCGTCAAAGCTACGGTGGCGCTCGATTCATTTACGGCCTTCCGTCCTGTTCTTTGACTTCAACGGACTTTTTGACATTATGGCTGTTAATAAACAGCGTTAAGGGCTGTTTTCGCTCGAAAATCTTTATAAGTTTAGGACTTTTTTATCACTATACGCTTGTTTAACTACTACTCACACTCATGCGATTCAGCTTAAGCTTGAACCGTATGAAAGGGACGGGTGGTCTACCGCTCGGTAGTGGAATTACAGTAGTGAGCACAGGTGATCTTTCACAATTTCTTCGCTACGGAGGTGTTAATACACAGACCTCCCTTTTACTCTTATTGTGTATCGTATAAAGAAAAAGAGACGGCAAATTTTTAATGATTCACCTCTTAATTAGTCGCAGTTCTAGTTAATCATGCTTAGCATTCTAATAGTTAGTGTAACGGGCGCGCTCTGTTCTAATTAAGTGGACGACTAGAGCCGTCATTTCTTACATTATTACTGTGTATTGTTAATTTGCGGGATGTATTCGTAAATTATTTATGATCTGTATGAGAATCAGCCGGTGTTCGTATACGTTGATTGATAGAGATATTTTTGTTGAATTCTCTTGTGTATATAATAAGGAATTAAAACACGCATATGGCCGTATACACAATCTGTCGGTATAGCAAACAATTTAATCGATACAAATTATCGACAAATTATAACAACCCTAATGATCGGTGTTATTAAATATTCATACAATCCATTTAATTGTATTATAGGCTGTATCAGTGCAAAGTTTTTAATTATAATTACAAGGGGAGCAGAATTGCCGGAAGGCCTGATCCGACTTGCAACTGCTACCTATTGAATTTGTTCCTTTGCTCGTAAATACACTTTCTTGGCTCTTTAATTTGTACAATCTCGATCGACATTGCGGTTTCCGTTTACTATCATAATAGTACACAATACGTTTATAAAACCATTTACATACAAATAAAAGCTTCGTAATTATTTTTAAATTGTTATGTACTTTTATTCCTATATTAATGTGTTCTATTCAATAGCTTGATTTTAATTTTATAAAGTTATTATACATAAATACATATATAAACCTGCACTTTTAACATAAATATTATAATTTAATTTACATAACACTAATCAATTCATACTGTATTTTCAATATATAATATTGTGTCATTTATTACCTTCAGTATTAAATCCTAGTCGTATAAAAGGCGTATAGTAACGTATCAAGCCTTATACTAACAGCTACTTAACAAAAATGTTAATAAATCACGAAAGGACCGTTTATTGTAGGATTGATATCCCGCCCCCATCAATTGTCAAGCACACAAATGATAGAGCCGTTTAAAAGACAAATAAATTGATAAAAACATTCACCGTTGTCTTACACATGAAATGTTTTTTGATGTCCTCTTAATTATTTAAAACCTATTCAGAAATGGCCGCTAGAATTTCATTTCTAACTGTGTTATTTTATTTTATTTTTATTACTCGTAGTCTTTTTTGAAGAGCTTTTGATGAGTTTTTTTCTTTTATTTAATTCATACATTTATGTGTATAAAGTGAGTTTTCGATCGAACCAATTGGGCAGCTACGAAGCCGATACAGACTGTCCATTACCAGATAAGAGCGGCACCACAAATAAATATATTCATTAGTCAACACCCACGTACTATCTCGGCCTTAAATCCAAAGACGTCGGCGCCTGAGCGTACGAAAACGAACAAAAAAAAGACATTTCAATAATAGTGAAAATTGTTACCTTTGTCACGAGATAAACTTAATTGGATGCGGATTCGTATTTGCTGTGATTTATTCGTTGTTTTTTTCTCACAGTCTCCTATTAAAGAAACATTAAAATATACATTTCTTGTTGTTTCTTTAATGTACCTATTGAAATTAAAAAAAACACTCGAGGTTATTCAAACATACATTTTATAATAATATGGAAGGTCCATTATTTTTCCAAATAGCATTTTATGAGATCTTCTTGTTGAAAAACGTGGAAATCAGTTGCGAGAAGTGTGATTTGCTTCTTGAAATATTAGCAAAATGATAAATATAGATAAATTATTGTTTTTACGAAGTTTAAATATTTTTACCAAGAAACATTGAAAAGGCTTACAAACAAGACTAAAATAAATATTTTATGAGTAATATTATTTTTACAGCTTTTACTTATGTTCTGAAACTTGTCTTTGTTTTTAATGTAACATTTAAAATACGGTCTGATAATTTTTATTAGGATCTTCATTCTTCATTCTGATCAACATTTAAAAATTTGTATATTGAAGTTTTAAATACGAAATAACTTTTGATCAAGAAACATATATATATATATATGTTTTTTACTTATAACATGAATTATTATTGCATTTAAATAATAATAATAAATATTTTGTAATTTTTGATAAATTTCAAGTGTTCTGTTTTAGGTTTATTTTGTGGATTACCATTCTTTGTTTATTGTTACATAAAATAGTTCAAATTATCACTTAGTTTTGTTAAGTTTAACATTGTTGAATGCTAATTCGACTGTTACCATAACTAACTACTAATTCTATTAGTCACTTAAGACAATTCAATGGTCAGCCATAGCCTTACCCGACATATATTCCTGACTCCCACTGAAACAGCATAACAAAGGTTGAGGTGTCACCCATCCGACAATACGCCTCGCCTACAAACGCATCGCAATCGGGATTCAACACGTAACGCGCAGAAATGCACGACCACTATACTAAGACCCATCTCCAACCCCGACCTTCTTAAAAGCAATATATACGGCCACATTTCTTTGTATCATGATATTCTGGTCGAGTGTTGTATGTCACAAGTAAAATTCGTCGTGCTCCGTCGACAAAGCCACAGCCGCCTCGCTAACATCACACATTTCCATTATAATACGTTCAAAATATCTGTGCTATCTATCAGGGACCACCCATGTCGTGGTCATACTATCTGACAGCTACCTGAAGAACAAAACCATTCTTATTTGATCCCTTGATTCGTATTTTTTTATATAATTAACCTACAATATTGTTTTTTTAATAAATATTTCAACCTGTTCGAAGTTATTGTAACATATGGAATCGATAATGCAGAAAATTTGTTTTTGTATAATCCGATTTATAGCGGTTAAGGATTTTTTTATCTAATAAGATTTTTTGAATTCAAAATGTAGATCAAAAGCACAGCAACAGTATGAAGTTAAAATCTTTAACCGCTACATGGCACGCTCTGTTGACGATATTAGCGTACAGTCCCCCAAACCTAAAGCCGTAATTAAACCGCCCACCGGTCATTGAACCCATATACACTTAAAATTACAGATTATATTAAGATGGTATATTAATGTTTTTTTGTTACATACAATTGTATTGTTGATTGTTTGGAATATATTGTATGAAATATCACTATATTACTCTTCTTTGAAATATATATTAATTTTTAACATTATATTGATTATTCTGAGTCACAAAATACATGCTTTAAAAAAATGGTTTTAAAATTCAAATATAAACTTTAATTATTATTGAATATTTACACAACTTTCAGTTATTCTTACAAAAGATCATGTTTATAGTTTATCGGGCAGTTTATTTTTTATTAATGAAGAAGAAAAATATAGAGTTTACCTACAAATATAGAGTTTACTTACAAATATAGAGTTTGGCCTCCAATATAGAGTTTACCTACACATCTCGTCTTCAATTCCTGCTTGGTTCATGTTTTCATTTATTTATTTGAAGTGTTATTGAATTTCGCGAGTATTCATTTAGATGAAACTAATATTTTTTGGATGTATTACGCGATTTTTAGCTTCGGTTACTTTACAGCAACCGTGATCACGGGTAAACGAGATGTACGACACATTGAATTATTGCTCTATCCTTAGTATAAATAGCCCAAACGTTCTCGTTACATTTTATGGCTATTGTTACAGAATAACAATAAATAATTATACATGTACTCTAAATTTCTTTTGAAATTAAAGATACAATTGACTTTTCAAAAATAATATTTTCAATTTATATAGGTACCTATATATATTTTATTTTATATATGTGTATACACAGCTTTTATATGTGCGTATCAATAATTTCTCATGATATTTAATATTCATTATAGTCATTATCATAAGGAAGTACAAATATATAATAATTACTTTAAAAATAATATTAAAAATATTTTCGTTGTCGATTTTACCGTGATACTGATAGGTGATAAAAAACTTGACATATAAATAAATATGTACAAAACTTAATAAATAAGCAATTTTTTATTAGTTAACTAATAAAAAACAAAAACAATTAATCCACTTCTCAACCAATAACATCTTCATAATAAAAAAAATACCAGCATCCTTTATTAAATTACATTAAGATGGCGTCCGGCGTAAAGTAATTTGTGACTACCGCTAACCATAGAGCATAGAATGTAGAGTGTAGAGCTGTATATCGTCTATCGTTACGTCGATAAAACGTCTCTACCGCCCAGTGGGCGCGCTTCGAGGGGGGCGGTACCACCAAAGCCCCACCCGCAATTCTTATCGCGTCCTATATTTAAAATACAGCAAAAAAAAATACTTTTTTATGTCAACACGAAGGAGGTTGCTTAGCTCTTTAGTTATAATAAAATATATAGAAACTCTCCCCTTGGGTAGGTACATATAATTTTGGTGATGTATATTTTTGAGACTTTTTTGGATTTTTTTTTTTTTGGGG